TCGATGAGTTGTGCAGCAGAAAAGAAAGCCGGGATGGGGTATGGATGAGTCAGCAGGGCCCTAGCTGGATGCGGTGACGACCCTCAATGAAGCTCGCCCGACCGCCGGCAGTAACTGTTAGTTATCTACCCCAGCTCTGTCTAGCTATGCTTCTGCTCGGCCGATGGGTGCCATGAAGCTGCCCATTGTCTGCACCAATATTCCTCACCTTTGATACTAGCTTCCTGCTCTCGCCATGGATGCGCCTGGCGCGACGCAGGCAAACGAGAGTGTCCCTCAGGACCGCCGGGACTCCGATCCCAATAACGTGGGCGACAATACATACCCGGACAGCGGGCGGTCCGACCGGGTCAATGACGAGGAAGACAGCCACAATGGGACCCAGAGTGAAGGCGATGATATCGACAAAGAACACGACGAGGACGGAACAGAGGAGGAGACTGATGAAGAAGAGGACGAGGAGCCCCGGCTCAAGTATGCATACTTGACCAAACACCTGGGGGCGGTGTATCGCAATGGAGATGCAACAAGCTCCTTTCTCGCGGCTGGGGACAAGATGGTATGGTATCCAGGCATTTCCTAGAAGGCGCATGATGCTGAGATAGTGTCTAGGTAATTGGAACGCATAATGGAAACATTGTAAGTAGCACTGTTACCGCTTCGAATGATTGGAGAACTGACGCCGACCAGCATGTACTATCCGTTCCTCAAATGCGCTCTCTTCGCGTCTACCATGCGCACTCCGCCAGTATTACCTCGATCTCAATATCTCCGTTCCCTCCTCCGTTGCCCAGTCTCAGACAAGAGTACTTCAGCAGAGTCCCCGAAGACCAGGAATATTCGGCGCGGCCGTCGTCCGGCACAGCTAGCCTCCGCGGCCGGCATCGACCAGCTCACCAGCAAAGCCTACCTGCCACGCCATCCAATTCGATATACATTGCCACATCTTCTATGGACGGAAATGTCTGTGTCGCATCATTAGTTGACTCCAAAGACGTTCTCTTGCGGAATTTTGGCCGGCCCGTGCAGGCTGTCGCGCTCTCACCAGAGTACAAAAGTGACAGGGCGTTTCTGTCCGGAGGACGTGCAGGCGACCTGATACTTACAGTGGGCGGAAGAGTTGGTGCTAGCACGAATTCCACAACAATGGGAGGTGCTGCGGCTACGGCTTCGAGTTGGCTCGGATCTTTGGGGCTGGGAGCCAACACCGGCAAGGACACTATCCTTCACAGTGGGGAGGGCGCCATCAGTACGATCAAGTGGTCTTTGTCGGGGAAGTACGTCGTCTGGGTTAACGAAGAGGGCATCAAAATTATGCGATCGAACTTGTACCTCGATTCTTCCGATTCTGAGCTTGCCTGGAAGCGAATCAGCCACATTGACCGGCCCAACCTTCCAGGCTGGGAGGAAATGGCGGGAGTCTGGAAGGCTCGTGCTGAGTGGGTGGACGAAAAATCATTGAACATCGACACCGGTTCAAACAGTCAAGGAGGATCGTCTACAGCTCAGTCGACTGTTGTCAGAGAGAAGGTGGAAAAGTTGGTAGTTGGCTGGGGAGGCACGGTTTGGGTCATTGACGTATATCCGGATAGACCCAGCAAGAACAACAGGGACCTGAAGATCGGATCTGTTGAGGTCTCTACAATCTTGCGGACTGACTGCGTTATATCTGGCATCTCGCTATATACCCCTAGTCTACTGGCCGTCCTTGCGTACATTGAGGCGGAAGAAGACGTCTCGGAAGAGCGGACCAAGCTAGGAGGTCGCCGTCCGGGAACGCGCCGCCGGCCAACGGGCTTGGAGCCTGAACTGCGGATCATCGACATCGAAACAAAGGAGGAGCTTAGTGCTGATACCCTTTCAACCAGTCGCTATGAGACCCTCACTTCCTCAGACTATCATATGTGCGTCCTGCCTCCTTGGAAATCCAGCGCTCCTGTTTCGCAACGTGGCGCCTTAGAAGCTCTGGGGAACGGTCTCTGGGATGCAACGCTCTACCCGGCACGTCTATTCAACTCTGCCGCTAGCATTCGCAGTACAACGAGCAGTGACAAGGGATCCAGCCGGGCGCCGAGCACTTTTGCCTCTCGAAGGTTTTCTTATGAGGAACCCCTTTCCAAAGAAATCCAGGACATTGCAGGGAGCGTGGGCCCCAAAATCTTCGTCCACAGTCCATATGACTGCGTTGCTGCCCTGAAGAGAGACCTGTCTGATCGCCTAGCCTGGCTAGACGCGCACGAGAGATATGAAGAAGCATGGATGCTTCTCCAGGAGCATCCTGAGGCGGCGGGGTCGGCGACTGACATGAACGAGCAAATTCCGGAGACGCCGTCAAGATCGCAGAGCAGTAGCGTTGGTGAATCCTTCATTGACGATAGGTCTTCCATCACAACCACTGGCCGGAACATTGCTTCTACTCCTGCTGTCGAGCAGGAAAAGCGCCGCATTGGCGAGTTGTGGATCGAGCAACTTGTTGATGAGAACAAATGGGCGGAGGCCGCCGAAGTTTGCGTGAAAGCAATTGATACCGCGAGCAGGTGGGAGCATTGGGCTTGGACCTTCATTAAGCACGATAAGCTGGACGAGATCTCGTCTGTCATGCCCGTCAACTTGCGCCCCAGTCTCCCCGCAAACATCTACGAGACCATCTTGGGGCACTATGTCGAGCACAACAGGTCAAGGTTCAGCGATCTTCTGGACTCCTGGCCTTTCGACCTCTTTGACGCCAATAATGTCGCAACAGGAATTGAGGAGCAACTGAGGTATGACTCGGTAATCCCGGACACAGAGGACTGGCGAGTCCTGACAAGGTGTCTTGCCAAACTGTACCTCGCAGGAGGCCACTACGGCAAAGCACTGCACTGCTATATTCGCCTCCAAGACGCCGACACAGCGATGGCCCTGATTAAGGACCACCGGCTGCTAGACACCCTCACCGACGATATCCCCGCATTCATTCTCATACGCGTGTCCAAGGAACAGCTGAAATCAGCACCTGTCGAGGAACTCGAAGAGCTCACCGCAGAGCCCATCCGGCTTCTAGTCAGCGAAGCATACACAGGCATAGTCCGGCCCGAGATCGTGGTCGATCAACTCCAAGCCGCAAACAAACTCCTATACCTTTACTTCTACATGCGGGCTCTCTGGCGCGGCGAATCACTGCCTCACGGCGCCGCAAAACCTCGCCGCGGCCACTTCGCCCACATCCGAGACGCGGCCAGCAAGCTCGCTGCCGACGAAGGCAAAGCACTAGTCGACAACTTCGCCGATCTAGCCGTAGAACTCTTCGCAGACTACAACCGGCCCCTGCTGATGGAGTTTCTCCAAACCAGCACCTCCTACTCCTTCGACATGGCCGTCAGCATCTGCGAAGGGCGCCACTTCACCCCTGAGCTAATCTATCTCCTCTCGAAAACGGGACAAACCAAACGCGCCCTCAACCTGATCCTCTCCGACCTCAAGGATGTCTCGCAAGCCATCCAATTCGCCAAGTCCCAAAATGAGCCCGACCTCTGGGAAGACCTCCTCGACTACTCCATGGACAAGCCGCGTTTCATCCACGGTCTCCTCGTCGAAGCCGGAACCTCCATCGACCCGATCAAACTCGTACGCAGGATACCAAGCGGCCTAGAAATCGAAGGCCTCCGAGAAGGTCTCACACGGATGATCCGTGAACACGACCTCCAAGCCAGCATCAGCCAAGGAGCCGCCAAAGTGCTCCAAAGTGAAGTAGCAGTAGGCATGGACACGCTCCGACGCGGCCAACGCCGCGGCATCAAATTCAACATCGTCGAAGAGGAAAGATCCATCCCTGGCACTCCCACCACCACTGCCACTGCCACTGCCGCCGAAGCAACTGAAAAGGACACCACCACCGCCACCAACAAAGCACTCAAAAGCGACGCCGACACAGAAAAGACCTCTTTCACCGCAACATCATCAACCACCGCATCCCAAGCAGGTAGATGCGCAGGCTGTCATCGCCCGTTCCGCGCCAACGGTAAGAACCCCCCTCACCTCTTTAGTACTTCTAGAAAACTCGACTCATTTATGATCCACAGAAAAAGAAATCCTCGTCGGCTTCGCCTGCGGGCACATCTTCCACCTCTCACACATCCACGCAACATCGGAGAATCCCTCATCCACAAGCACGCCATATACTCGTTCTGCGGTGCAGACTCCTCGACCGTTCTCGCCTGCGCCCGGACAGACGCTGGATGAAGTGTCGATGAGTGCATCGCGCACGGTCGGACCGAAGGTGACGACTGCGCGGTTGTTGAGGGATAGGATTGGGGATGGATGTAGGATTTGTGCGTTGGCGAAGGAGTTGGAGGCGATTGGAGATTCCGAGTCGTAGGTTTATTCTGCTGTCTGTGAGTGTTGGTGTGTGGCTTTGTGGATGGGTGCTCTGGGGAGGGGGGTACTGTAGCTTTGCTTGAGGTGGGAATGTAGATTTGTCGGTTGCTTTGTGTGGCGACATGAAGAAGAGGGGTTCGGCTTTACTATTTTATTTTGATGGTGAGGATGCTTTGAATCACTGGAAGGTATGAGTGCTGATGGGATTGCAGGTATTCATTTGTTGAAGGGAGCAGTTGAATGATGGCCCTGTCATTCTACCAGTGTGGGGCTGTAACCACGGACAGTTTCACTACATGTCACATAGTTCGCCTGGATGGGTGTATGTTTAGTCTTTAGGAGATACCCATGGTAGCAATAATCTACTGCGCAATTGAGACAAATATTAAGGCCCGTAAGGTTTTGAATTAGATCAAGCGGTATCTTGCCGCGATATTAGTTACAACACTCCGTTGAGAAATTCAAATAGCAACCCCTTGTGAGGCGCATCTCGACACAACGTTAGAGCAAATAAATTGAAAGAAGAACAGAGAAAGAAAGAAGCACGCTCCGTCTGAAGATTAAGTTCAACACCACCAGATCTTCGTACACAGCTCAGCTGGGAACGAATTTCAAAGAACTGCTGGTGAGCGAAAGAAACATCTTCAGATACGCACGAGACTGAAAGCCAAGGCAACTGCCAACGCAAAGGCGGACGACGCCATGCCCTCATAGTCATTGGCCTCGTTGGTGGTAGGGAACGAGGGGTGCGCATGAGTACGGGTGCCAGTCGATGCAGTGGTATCAGTGCTGACTGTGTGATTTCCATGCTGCTCTCCAGAACCGACTGAAGAAGTAATAGAATCATTCCCATCACTGGGAGCACTGTGAGTCCCGGATGAGGTAGGATGGGGCACAGTGGTTTCAGGCACAGTCTGAATTCCAGTCATGACGGATGAATGTCCAGTCGCCACAGACTTGGTAACTGACACAAAAGTGGTATCAGAGGTGACGTGAGACTGGCCGGTAGGGATCTCAGTTGAGCCTCCACCAGACAGTTCAGTAGTACGTTCCGAAGGAACCTCAGTGCCAACACTAGTCATAGTAGGAGCAAAACCAGTCACGACAACAGTCGGAATCAGGGTAGGCGCGGTGACAACTGTTGGGAGGGATAGGGTTCCGATGGTGGGAGCCACCGGAGTCTCCGTCTCACAGATAGTCACAGTCAAGATGTCTAGAGCTGATCAGGACTCAAGTTTCTTATCAGGAGGTCTTCCAAGCTTACCATCGTTACGGGTTTTGCCAACTCCCTCGGGCTTGTTGGCCTTGGGCCGACGATTGTTGGACTTAGGGACGATGACCGCGTGGTGAGCTATATTATTGTCCAAGCCCGGTCAGTATATTGGACCCTCGGCGACTATCTGAGTAGTACTTACGAGCGAAGGCAGCCTCAGTCATCTCGTAGTAAACACGCACAAGATCATCGACGATATCTAAGAGCGTTAGCAGCATGAAGAAGACAGTTGGAGTGTAGTACCTACTAGCACTGCAGCCGATACTGGCGAGGAGCCAGATGGCAAAAATGATCAGATAGTTCACGTTCATTTTGAACAAACGCTCTGAAGCAAAGATCTTCAAGTTGTAAGGAACAGGAAATAAACGAACAATTGATGATGGTTAGGATTCTTGATGATGGAGCCTTGATAGAAAGACTGGGGAGCGACGGAAGGAGGACGGGTGAAAGACTGGGGAGAGGGGTGGGAGAGAAGAAAGGAGGAGAAGAAGGAGAAGAAAAGGATTTGAGGAGAAAGATGAAAAGAATTCGAACGTGTTGTGTGTGTTAACAGGGTTGTGTCGCCGGGGCAAATGGTGTCGTTTTGGAAAGTGCGACGACGACATTACCAATACGGCAAGAGCAGTGTAGGCACCGACGACCAGCAGTTGAAGATGGGAAACGGTGCTATACGGGAGGAATAGAGGTGCGTATGGTGGTAGTCTCTGCACAGCAATTCACATAGGGCTCGATCACGCTGATAAGATGGTGGCGTTTATGGGGTCTGATATCCACGTGTTTTCACTGTTATGCACTACGCTAAGGGCTCGGAGTTGAACTTCCGAGTCTTTGTTCAGTCATAATGATAGAAGTTAATCCTTCTAGAATAACTTTATGGAATTTTAGGTGTCAAAAGAAGAACCATGCAAAACAGGCACTCTATCGATGCATACGGGGTAAGCCATCGGCAGCCGGAGACGAACTACGCCAGGTCCCACACTCAAATTCCTCCATACACAATGAGAAGCAATGAGCCCACCATTACTGACCCCTATTAAGCAGTCTACCTATACGCAGGGGCCAATGATTATCGTCCTAAACTTTCTTGACCACAAGCTAGTTCAGCCAAGCTTGATCCCGTTGAGCTATAACATGAAGTTATCCCCGAATAAGCCACACCGCAAGCCATCAGACACCGATGTCTCAGATCGACCAATCAGTCTCTGCCATCGAGAAACAGAAAACTGGAGCATGGGGGATCTCAGTGGCAAAATTTGCTCTTGATCTCGAGCCGTTCCCCCCTCCGAGCTTCCTTTAGGCATGTTTAAAGGCAACCTTAAAGCAAATCGATCCTGCAGTGACCCTCATACCAACGGCTACTAGATGGCAATCCCTGCACCGTGCAGAGATATGTTCGTATTGAGATCTGGAAACTTTATACCAGTGGAGGATCTTGTACTACTCCGTCAAGGAATCCGACATGGATGATACCCGACCTCAACGGTCAGTTGACCATGCAATTTCAGTACCAGATGTTATTCTGACATACACGTGCCAACCATGCCAGCTATATATAATTGACAGTCCACACTGCAGCCTTCAGAATCATCAAAGTTCGTGTTCGCGCACCATGTGACGTTGATTTTAGGGCCCCCTATCCGCAGCATCGCCGGAAACTTACCTCTCAGGTGTTGTTTCCCGTATGGAATACTGCGGTATGGTTGGTATGGAATGGACAAGCGTAATTCAGTAACGGTTTCTGGTGTCAAAACTAGCGAAAAATACAGCGACAGACAGAGACCCCACATCGGCACGACCCGCGTGGAGGCGCCAACCAGCAAAAAGCGACTGATGGCCAGCCGCTCCTTTCCAAGGAACTCTTTTGAGCTATGACGACATTGCAAGGTACCAGTCCGATCCCCGATCCGATGCGTTGAGAGCCATGATGTCATCTGCTTGTTCCCTTCCCCGATTGCCATTTGTGACTCGCCCTGGGCTGGGCTCGGCTGCGTGAGTCGGCCCGAGTCTGGACCTGTCATCCGCATTCATTCACGAACTACTGCGTGAGGATGCATCTTCTTTTGGCCTTGACTTACAATCACTACAAAGAAAGGGAGATGCTAACAACCGTGTCATGTAGGGAGGGAGCACTACACTTTTCCACCTCTTTCGATTTAATTCCAACAAATCAGTATGGCGCCATCTGTGTTCAAATCCCGTTGCAGAACACATATCCCGAACCTACCCCATAAACACAACCAAATTAGAAACTGCGGAGGCAAATAATAAAAAAGGTCAGAATATTAAGGAAAAGCTCAAACACCGACGGAGTCGGCCAAACGGAGAGCCTCTCTTTCTCTTTCCCTTCCCTTTTTTTCCCCACTTCCCACGAGATCGGCAGGCCCCCAAATGCAACTGAAACGATTGGTCGATGATCTCAGGACAAGGTTTCTGCAAAGGGAGAAATGGATCAGCCAGAACCACCAATCTATCTCCCACAGACGTCATTGCCCAACGGCGGCTAGATAAGCCTAAAACCATATCACAGTTACTTTTGTACAAAGTTGATGAGTTGTTACCGAGACCCCCCGATGGCGCTTGCAACAAACAGAAACTAAAAAGTTAATTTTTTATTATCGTTGAGACATACCGCGAGTCTAGAACCATGGCTACAGACCCCCTGACTTAGACCACGTTGTACAATCCGCTCGGTGATCACTTACTACTTACTGTCTTATCTACTCGATACCGTTTCACTTTTGCGCTCTGTTTTCATTGGTGGCTTCCGTTCAGGTACCCTTGCAGAACTACCAACATGAAAGAAAGCATAATACCATCACCACTATACATCTAACTACTTCTTCATCTATGTCAAAATACCATTCTAAGTAGTAGTAAAGCCGCTCCTAAACCCATCCAAAATCCATCAACACCCTCCCAAGAGAATTAGTATTCAAATAATATAATAATACCGCCAACTATACATCCCATAAACTAACTATATATGCACCTCGACGGGGCCAGCCACCAAAACCACCACCCGCAGCGCCATGGCGCCAGCCCAGTCTTATACTACATATACACGACAGCCACAAGCCAGCTAGTCAAGTAGTTAGTGAGATAGTTAGTTATCTATCTACGCAGCAAACAAATCCATGTACTCCGATCAATACATACATGCTTACATACATACACATATACACCGTTACAATTCATACAAAGATACCCCCATACATACATACAATACCAACACATCCAACCAAACCATCTACTATTACTTCACCTCGAACTCGATCGTCGTAAGCCTACTACTACCTACTCCAAATCTACACCCAAACAATGGCATAGATGGATCTATGGATACAAAAAAAACTGGAGTATGTACGGAGTAGATGAAATGAACGGAGTCAAACCAACCATATACCCGATCGGGAACTCATCTCCGCATAAGGTAATGGCCTACGTAGCAAGGGGGGTGGGAGTGGAGGAGGGAGGCCGCGAAAGGTAAGCATGTGCGACAGATGACTGACTGACCCCTCTCAACGAAACAAAGAACTGCCCAAAAAGGGTAAAAGGCACGCTTCGGAAGAAAAAAAAAAAAAAAAAAAAAAAAAAAAGCAGAAGAAGAAGAAGAAAGGGACGGGTATATGCTCGGCAGATACACACGCACACACATAACCCCAATGAACATACCATGGAATTGATGGGAATGAGGAGGAGATTTTAGTGGAACATAGAGAAGATAATGACGATGTTAGCTAAGAGCTAGTAGTAGCAGGGACCATAGTTACCATCCAATTTACTGAGAAAAAAGAAGAAGGAGAAGAAGAAAAAAAAAAGCCATTCCCCACTTTAAAAGGAAAAGAAAAGAAAAATCAAATCAAATCAAAACGAACGGTAAAGATGATTCCGGAGCCATTCGAGAGTCAGTGGGGGCGGATCTGACATCCGCCAGTAATATTACGTGCTGTGGTTTTTCCGCAGGTGTGCGCCGAGCGTTGCCGGAGGAGGAAAAGGGCCTTAAGTAGTACCTTACCACTGTACCAGTGACCTTTTAGCGCGGCCTGTCGGCTACCTTACTACTTTGTAGACTGGTGGTCCACAGTAGGTCCGTCCCATGGGTCACCTTCCTTATTGTTCATTTTTATTCTATTCCATATCCACAGTAGTCTATCTACGTAACTGTCTAGCCCAGCGTCGGTTATGATGTAATTGCTGGCTGGGATCCAATTTCCTCGCCAATGGAATTACATTCGGGGGTCTGTGCTTTGCTCTCTCTCGTCCTCGGAGATTCAGTCCTGGTGACATGGTTCCATGTGGTGATCTTCAGTTCCTGTGTACTATACTATTCCAGGAGGTGGGTGGCGAGTCTCGGACTATATTCGGATATCTTACGGAACTACGATGGAAATCTGTTCCAGATATTATAACCTCTCTATTGCACGGGTCTGTCGTATATCCAACCTAGTGCTTTTGATGTAACATGAATAGCAGCTTCAAACCCGTTCATCTTCATGGGTCCGAAGTATAGGCAGGTCTGCACGCGGAACCCATCACAGCGCACACGAAACAAGTCAAGACATCATTCTGTGCTGCGTAGACGCTGAAGCTTGGATCATAACAGGAGGAGCCAGTACATAGCCCATCCGATAACGAAAACACCCAGGCCATCCAAGAGGGGAGAAATAGTGAAACCATCTCGGTATGCCGGTGTGAAAAGAAAATAAAGAAACGCAACAGCAGCAGTGAAGTAATTCCGACAAGAATGGACAGGGTATCTATCGTGTTCCTCGTACCTCAACCAGATCCTCGAAATTACAAACCAGATAATATCATCAAGAGAAATCGAACCATTGCCGGGGCCGTGTATCCCCAAACCCAGACGACATTGCCGACAAGGAAAAGTTTAGGATATCGTCAATGATATAACACACAAAAATTAAAGACAACAAACAAAGCACGTATATGGCGACAGGGTATCATTGCTCGGGAACTCGTGTATTATTCCCTATCCAACGAACGCCCCGTAGATTGATGCAAGCAATCCCAAACTCCGAATATGAGGCATGCGCTTGAGTAATGTATGCGAACAAGCGTACCTCATGCCACGCACCAGGCGCCGAAAAGACTGAAAAGACTGAAATCCGTACCGAAAGAAAGAAGCCCCTTGTTGAGGGTTGAGACAACAAAAATGTTAGACGAAGTGAAGTTTGCGAGTGACGAAGGACGAAAAGAGCGTCGTGATTTGCCGAGCGGCAGGATTAGTAGCTCAATTTGACCTCAACGGCTGGACTTATGTTTCCCGATCCCGTAGCTGCTGCGGTCTCGAATG